ATGTACTGCAAGCCTCTTTTTAATATTAGTTCTAACTCACATGCTTCCTCCAAAGCAGCCTTCCCCAATCTGGTACCCTTCACACATTTTATATGTCCTATCAGCCCCATAAGGAATGCTGAGAGTTGAGGTACAGAACATCTAGAGGGCACTATGTTGGGGAAAGCTATCCCAAAGAATCCTGGGAATTGTAGTCTGCTCTAGGAGTGCTGAGAATGTCTTTATTTACTGCTCTGTGTACCGCTCACAGCTATCAAAGCTCTCAATTCTGCTGGTGATCCTCAGTTCCTCTCACAGGATGGCTTCCAGTGATCCCTAGGGAAAGGGAATGGCTATTAGAGTGTGGGCAACATGTGTATGGACAAGTGTCAAGGGTCAGCAAGGTCAGGTACTTGCCAAGGGACCATACATGATCAGGGGTCTGAGAGAAGCCCCCTCAACCTGTTCCTCCTCCTCAGCACTGCAGCCTGCTTGTTTTCCCACCTTTCCCTCAGGCCCAGCAGTGGAGAGTCAAGGAGCAAACAAACTGGGAGAGGCACACAGGTGGCTGCCCCCCCCCCCCACTGGTGTCCTGCTCAGCAAGCAGTCAGGAAGGGCCTCAAAGAGAAGCAGTGGCAGCTGTAGACTGTGGCAGGGAGGGTGTGGGCTGCCTGATTGGGGGTCCCCACCTGAGGGTGTCTTAACCAAGAGCCCCCAAAAGCCTGGATCCAGAGCCTTGGGGTGTAAGCCAGATCAAAACCAACACAGTTTTTTCCCACTGACTTTCAAGTGTGCACTTTGTAGTTTGGGACTTCATGTAACTTTGGTTGTACCAAATTTGAGATGCCTACAAATTTAGGAAATAAAGTAAAGCTGAAGAGAAGCTGCATTCCTATGGTTGGGGACCCAGACTGGCTCCAAAGTCTGTCCCACTGAATGCAGTTGAGCGTGATTCCAGATTAAGTAGGCAGGGGCCTGCAGACTTGCCTATATTTTAGGACTCTAAGTCAGGCAGTTCTGAGACACATGGATTCTCATACCCATCCTGAATCAGTGACCTGGTTTCCATTATCACTGCGGGGTAAACAAGCTGCCATAGCTTGTTTAAGGTGTGGTGCCTGATGGATCCTATTCATCTAATCACCTGCCCAGGCCCTGCTTGTTGCATCAAATAAATCCAGGCAAAGCAAGTCTTGTTGGAGGGGAGAATTACCTTTGAATAACCCAACATCAGCTCAAGGATGGTTTGAGAATGGTTTCCCCCTCCAAAAAAATATGCTATCTGGGCTCGAATGACATGACAAGCTGTGACTGGGTGGGTGATCGAGTAAATGGGGGCTGGCACATCCTATGGCTTAAACAAGCTACTGTGGCTTGTTTACCCCCAGTGATCATGCAAACTGGCCAAGGGACTGTTTAAACACCACGCAGAAATCCCAGGCCTGTTTAATCCCTCGGTGCAAACTATCAGCAAAACCTTAGCACAACTTCACTTTGAGCCTTAGACTAACAGCATGTGAAAAGATTAATAAGAATAAATTCTGAGCTAATCAGGTCCCTTCTTTAAATGTTGACACAGTATTATTTATATCCCATAAATACCTTCTTGACTAAAATTCATCCCAGGAGATTGGCACCATGCCATACGATTCATATTTACTGTATTTATAGAGTACAGTTGGCCAAGGATAATATTTAAGACAAAATATGCCTTGAGATATGTACAATCTCTCTTTGCATTTTCCTTTTAAATCTCTCCATCGCTAAAAATATTTAGACTGAACTTTACAAAACGTCCCACAAAGACCTATCAGGCATCCGTGCAGTGATATATCGCTGGCTGCGAGTATAATTAGAGCATATTTGTAATACTTGGGCCATCGTCAGTTACCAAACGTTAACATCTCTGTGGCAAAAAAGATTTAAAAAATATTCTGAATGATTGCTCTTTCCCATGCCTTTCACTCTATGACCTCAGTGTATTTGCCGAGATGGCCCTTCCCCTCCCACATCACTGCCTGCTCAGCTCACGCAGGAACTGGAGAGTTAAAACACTTGGAATCCAAAAGAAAATGTACAGAGCGGTCTAACCCCTGCGATTTCAATTCACTGCACATACACACTCTATTTCTCCTTAGCTGTGTTTTTTTTTCTCAGAATGGCTTGTTCAGCCCAGTATGTGTAACTAGACAGCAGTGGAAAAACAGTTAACCCACTTACTGCGAGCGAGCGTACCAACCAAGAATGTGCACAGAAGGGCTTGCTATAAAGCGAACAGAGCCATCGGCTCTTAAAGTTCTGATGCTCTCTATTGGTAGGTACCTGCAAGCTACAGCTGCTCTACAGGGCTATGTATGTTCTGGCCAGCCCAGGCTTCCGAAGGCATTCTTAAAAAGGAAAATAAAAAGGAGCAGGTCTTTTATTCCTGGGATAATACGTCTTTTCTACTCCAAGCATTTAATTTTCCAGAAGGGCGTGTATCGCTGGGATCCATTCATTTTGGGTAGCACTGCCTCTTTATGTGGGCTGTGGGGGGAAAATGTGGTCAAAAAAGATTAGGGGAGTTTACCTCAAAAGAAAAAAAGGGAAAAGGGAAAAAACCCTTCTGCCCAAAGGTCATAAGAGTGGGTCAAGAAGCTCTCCCTGCATACTAGCTGGTAAACATTCTCACAGTAGGGCTTCTGGGGGCACAAAGGGGTGGTTTGCTCCAAAATGCCAACAAGGTTGGTGTGGGTGGGTGTCTACACGCGTGCGTGTTTTCAGAATGTTTCTTGCTGCAAATTAGGCTCCGGAGCTTTACACATACCCGCTTGGCTGCTCCAGCACACTTTGCAAAGTCTTCCTTCCCTCAGGGCAACAAGGGTGGAGTGTATTTATCACAGACAGTTCTGGATGGAGTCGTAATTACAATAATAAAACCCTTTGACTGCCAGAGTGTCCCTTTCGAAAGACTGTCCTGAGCAATAAATGGGGAAAGAGGAGGCAGCTCACAGCAAAGGGGGTCCAGAGACATCTTTGGCTGGCATCCTGGGACTATTGCTAGCAAGCCCCAGCAAGCCTTGGTTGCATTCAAAATAGACAGAGGAGGCTACAATTAGAAAGTCTAAGATAAAGTTACCAAGATGGCTACATCACCAAGTGCAATGAGGGTATGTGCTTTCCACAGACAGACCAAGCACCAGTATCAAACAAAGTAAGGAGATTGGGGAGGGATCTGGAAAACACGCCAGGAAACATGAGCCTGGGCATGTAAGAAAGTTCTTCTGTTATTCCATGTAACAGAATTCCTGCAAAGACCTACATTTTGGGTTTGGTTTTCTAGGGATTCTGAGTTATGTAGCACATCATTCCGACAACCAAACTGTGACTGTGCCCATTTTACAGCTGAGGAGACTAAGGCTGCAATCTGTACACCCCTAAATCCCATGGAATGCAATGGAGCTTATTTATGAAAAGACATGCACATGACCACTCTGCACAACTCCAATACAGGGCATTTTGCCAAAGCCAAACAGCAAGTCCAAGTGAACCGGGATTTGAATTCAAGTCACCTGCCTCCCACCCTTGAGCATTTTGCAAGCAAAGAAAGGTGGGATATAAATGTAAAGTCGACAAAGCACAAATTGTCTGGGGACCACAGTGGCTCTTGTCCAAAGTACAAAACCAGCTCCTTTGAGCTATAATTTATTTTTCAGAACTGAGTGCATGTAATCAGTTCCAGCTTAAACATTCACAGGATGTGTCCAGAAAACTGGACTTTAAATGCACGCACACGCTGAATAAGGGAGTAGAATTTTGTACCTGGAAATGAGGTCACAAGAAAAAGGGATGGTTACTAAACTGAAAATAGGACCTAAAGAGATACTTCCAGGATCCATCTCTTTTGGCTGTACCAGTTTAAGCAGTGAGCTTCAGAGGAAACTTGGTTTTGGGGTGGAGACTCTACTGAACTTGCTCCTCCACCCCCCAAGGTACACTGAAATGAAATCCTACCCAATTCAGATACAAACTGGCAGTGGAAAGAGATCTATTTTGGAGACTACTGAACTGGAGATAGGAAAGTGATAAGAGAACTGGGGAGAAGTTTGTGGGGAAGGGGGCACACTTTGCAAACTAAACTAATCCTATGAGAGGGAGGTTTGTTGACCCAGGTGCTGGGAAAAGACTAAAGGGGAAACATACACTGATTGCTGGCTAGCAGCACGGTGAGCTGAAGCGAAAAAATCGGGGTGGAGAGCATCCAGAAAGAACAGACTGGGAAGCCATTGTTCCCACCCAAAGGAAAACTTTGAAAAACAAACAAGAGAGAATTTGAGGATGAGAACAGATAAGGGAGCTTATTAATGTATCAGGCATTTCAAAGCACCAAGCACTGCCAAATGAGTGGGTGATACACTAGCCTTGCCAGGTGTCCCTCAATTTCAAGGGTGATTCCCAGGGCTTAAATTCCAAAATGAGGACTGGCAGATAGACAACTCCACAGAGACACTGTGTGCCCTTAATGTCACATCTGCAGAGGTTGGTTGTCTCATACAGGCTAAGGAAACACACTCTGCAAGAGGACACCCTTATTACTCAGGCATCCCAAGCCTAAAACCCTGCAGAAAACGGAGCCTCACAGTGAAGCCCAAATGGAGCCTGATCTTGAACCACACTTCCATGGAAATACTCTGTTCTAGGTCATCGGTCCTGGACCGCAAGCAATAGCTTTTCCACGACCATATTTCATCACAGCACCAGAATATCCAAACATTCTTTTCTTTCTCTCTCTCCTTAAAAAAAGGAGCAGTACCTTACATTTTTACAACCCTGCGATGGAAGGGGTGGGGTTGCAAAGACAAATCACATTCTCAGGTGCCACCCTGCAATTTTTACCAGCCCCGGGCTTCCAGGTACCCACCTGGTGCTCCAAAGACCAGACCAGACAAGAACACGCACACGCTCACACAGTCCATTCTGTGACACGATCCAGCGGGACTCTTCCTCCCTCCCACACCCCCCACACACGTGAGCGCACATACCTAAACACGCGGGCACGCCATGCAGACGAGACTTACTTGCGGATGGGAAGTAAGGCGCCATGTCTATTTTGTAAACCTCTTTGGCGTAATACTCCTCGTCGCTCCTTTCCTTCTCGCAAGAGGCGGCTCGGTGGTTCGCCTTCTCCTGCAGCAGCTCCCGGGTGCTGTTGTAGATCGAGATGACCTCCGGAGGAACCTCCTCAGGCTCCGGGTACTCTTCCGGAGGGCTGGTGAGTTTCAATTTGCTCAGGATTTGCCCCCGGATAGCTTCGATCCTCTTTCGCATAAATTGATCCATATCGAGGGTGCTGCAGGTAGACAAGGCGAAGGCCACGGTGGCCAGATCCAGCGTGAGGAATACGCTCAAGAGATAGCAGTGCATTTTAGAAATATTATTTTTAAATAAAAATTAAAAAAAAATAAAAACACGCGTCTTTTTACTCTTCTCCTCCTCCGCACCGAAACAGAGATCTCAGATTTTCTTTTTGCTGCTTAAGTGGAAGGGTGCAAAGAAGGTCGGTTTTACACACGCACTCACGCACACGCACACACTTTTAGAAAGAAAAGCAACAGATCGTCAGACCAAACAGTAGCGCACACCGGATTGCAATAGCCCAAGCTGCTTGTATGCGGGTGGCAAGTCCCGGTGCCACACTGAGCACAGATGCGACCTTGAGGCAGCGGTGGCGGCGGCGGCAGATGTGGCAACTTCAAGCCACCAATCGCCGCCTATTAAACTCTGCAACAGGTTGACGATCCTTTAAAAAGAAGAAAAACGCAACAGGTTGCAAGGGGTTGCTGGAAAAGCGGGCTGCTTCCACCACAGCAAATAGATCGCAGAGGACAAAGGTTTAGTTTTGGTTTGATTTTTAGCCAATAAAAAAGGGAACGGAATATGAATAATAAAAGCCCCGAAAGAAAACAAACCACAAACAATCGCGTCAATGCAAAAGTTTCTTAGAGAGCTGAAAAAGTGGCGTGGAGAAAAAGAAGAGGGGGAAATAACCAACTGACTGCCGTTTCGAGTGCGGGCTCCCGAGTCTCGGAGCTGTGCTCTGCTGCCCGAAAGCTCCCACGCTCCCAATTGAGATGGCACCGGCTGGCAGCCGAGGAAGGCTCCTTGGGGGTGCGCCCCTTTCCCGCAGACAGCGCGCGGCTCCCGCCTCCAGCCCGAGGAGCCGGTGTCCTGCTCCGCTCGGAGGCGACAGGCGCCCACGTGTGCGTGTGTGTGTGTGTGTGTGCGTGCGTGCGTGGTGTGCGTGCGTGCCGGGAAAGAAGCCGAGGCGCGCCAGGGACGGGCGGACGCGTTGAAAGTGGCCGAGCCGGGTCCCTCCCTCCCGCGAATCGTCCGCTCCTCTCCACGACCACCCCCTCTCGTTGCGTGGGCAGCGACTGCAGCCGCTCTGACTTCCCCGTGGCCCGCGAGCTGCTGCTGCTGCTTGCACCAGCCAACCAGCTAACCTCCCTCCCCTCTGGCTACTCCAGGCTGTAAACTTTTCCAGGAGCTCCGTCCTCTTCCTCCTCCTCCACAATTAAAAAAAGAAAAAGGGAAGCGGGGCCAAGCACAGCCAAGGAGGCAGAGCGGTTCTTCCTCCAGCCCTCCGGTGCTGTGCGTCTATCTGGACATGTATCTCTCGCTATGAATGAGCGGGCTGCGAAGCAGTCTGCCTTCGCCCTTGCAAGAACTCTCGCCCTCTTCGCTCTCGCCGTGGCACCTTCTCGCCCGAGGAGGCGACTCGCGCTTTGCCCGCGGCTCCTTCTCCCCGCCGGCTCACTCTCCGCCGTCCCCTGCCCTGCGGGCTGTCCTCGCCCTTTCGGAGCGCAAGCCCGGAGCCCCCTCGCTCGCCTTGCTAAGAAGAGGGCGGCTTTCGCCAACAGACAACATCACGATCTTGCCGGGAGAGGGAGAATTTATAAGGTTTTCCCCCTCGCAGCACCGCGTGTGTGTGTGTGTGTGTGCGTGCGCGCGCGCGCGCGCGCGCGCGCCTCCCCAAGCAAAATGACGTGGTGGGATCGCCTGCAGACGACGCAGTGGCGGTTTCTGCTAAGGATTACTGCTTTCTTCTTCGATCCGGACTAAGCAATTCCCCTCTTAACGATGCGAAGCTCCCGAATTGGGGGAATGTGTAAAAAGCCCGGCAGCGGTCATCATTACCAGGGGCAGGAGGGAGGCTTCCGCTCCTCTTCGTCAGCCAGAGGGCACCTAACTGCGCATAGAAGCAGGGTAGGCGGGGCCAAGGGCCACAGTTAGGTAGGAAGAGGGACTTCAAGGGTTCCGCAGCCGCAGGGGTGGGGGGACACGCTGGGGTTCGGGCTGGAGCACACAAGAAGTTCAGGAATGCACCGATTTGCATAGCTAACTTCCACATGTTCTAAGTTCTGTGCTTCAACGGAGCTTGTGTCCTTAAGAACACCCTCATTTTTTAATAGGAGGTAGAGAGGGGAAAGGAGAGCCTGATTGCAGGAAAAAAGCCTTCAGGTGGAAGGATTCCCGGGGAGGCAGCAGAGGGTGAAGCAGTGTGGGGAAAATGGTCAGCTAATCCAGAAGAATCGGAGGCTGCAGAGGCATCAGGGCCTTTACTGCAGCAAGTGCCTATGGACAAGCCTCTGCCAGCCGGTGGGGCAGATGACCTGCCAGAGAGTCAGGCTCCGAACGAAAGATGTGAAGCTGCAGCCCTGGCGGACCTCCCATCACTTGCCTCTGAGTGGCCAGCTCAGTGCGGGTGACCAAACTGAGATTAAACCCAGAGGGGAGAGAAGTGTGGTGGTCAGAAGAACACCTGGCTCCAGGAGTGGGATTCCACATGCTTAGGAAGGGCTTGCAAGTTCAAGCCCGCAGCTTGAGAGGCCTGGGCACTCTGATCCTACACTCTCCCTGGGTTTTGGCATGGTGTCTGTGACACACAGCGTGTCTTCATGCTTGGCTGCACCTTTCCCATGTTGGTCTGATTTGGCCACAGCTGCCCTTTGGATGCACCACATTGAGATTCTTGCAATGCGACTGTGGCTGGGGAGGATATGTATCTGAGTATAAGGACTATACCACAGTCTTCGGACAGTGCAAAGCACAGCAGCTAGACAATTAAGGAGTGCACAATACTGGGACAATAATACACCTGCACTGGTTGCCTGTTGCTTTCGGGGCACAATCCAAGGTGTTGGTTTTAGCTTAGAACAAACCTGTCTAAGGGACTGCCTGTCTTGCTATGAATCTACCTGTATTTTCACATCCACAGGAAAGAACTTCTGGAGGACACCATTTCCGACAGAGGCCCATTTTTCAGGCATGTACAAAAGGGCCATCTTTTCAATGCAGCTATTAAAATATGTAACTTACTGTTTTACCCTTTATTTTTTTATAGATGTCAGTTGTTGTACACTAATGGCTGTTTAGCAGGTAAGCAGTATATGGAAGTGAAGCAAGTCACTTCAAAACCTTGAGTGCAAAGTGTGGGAGTAGTCTGACCACACAACACACCAAAAAGATGCACTGAATGTACGTCTTGCTTCTCACCCACTGCCAGTAAACTGCCACAAGTACCTTCAGGATCATAAGGCCAAGGGGGGTGGGGTGGGGGTGGGGGTGGGGGGAGAGATACACAGCACCTTTGAATGCACATTGTTCTCGGAGTGTGGCCCAATGGAGACTTAAAATGAGGGGTGGGGGTGGAACCTAATCAAGAGGCTAGTCTATCAGATGGCACAGAGTCCTGCCTTTTCATTCTAATTAAGAAATTGGGCCTTCATTACCATCGATCATTAGATGAAAGAGAAAAGAATTCAAGCAAAGGCCAACATAACACTTTCAGATTAGTGGAAGCCATTTAAAGACCCACTTGCTGTCTTGAAAGCAAATGCCTCAGAAGGCAGTTCAAGCCGTGCCCACCGCACTTACAGACATGGTGGTTTCCCCACTGGTTTTTCTCCCTGTATGCAATAAACTTAATGTGCAGGCCCTTCTCCACACAGCAGATCGCCTACCCTGTTGATGTTTTTGCACGGGAGAGCATTGATTTAAACCAGCTTGCCCTAACCTGGTGTTGCCCAGATGATTTGGACTGCAATTTTCAGCAGCTCCAGGCAGGAGAGCCATGGTTAGATATGATGGGAGGCATAGTAACAAATAAATAAATAAAAAATAAAATCTGGAAGACACTGCATTGGGGGAAACTGACAAAGTGTATTTATGCCCTCTGTAAACACTTCCCACAGAAAGTCTCCCTTCTGAAATGACTCTGAAGCCAGCCTCCTCATAGGCTCAGAAGTACAGTCGGTAAAAACTACTGGCAAATGCAGTATAATACCATTATGCATGTTATGGCAACATGAGAAAGAACACTGGCCATCATCACTCGCTCAAGATGTTTTGGGTTGCAGCCCTGGTGATTTCGTATGCTGATATCGAAGACAGCCATTGTGGTGCAGTGGTTAGAGTGCAGGTCTGAAGATCACGCAATTTGGGTTCTAGTCCCTGCTCAGCCAAATCGGTGACTTGGGCCAGTCACAAAATCTCAGCCCATAGGGTTGTTGTTGTGGGGACTGGACTCCAAGCAGGAGGAGGAGAATGATGTAAGCCACTGTGCGTTCTTTACAAAAGAAAAAGGGTATAAATCTAATAAATAGAGGCCTAAGGACCTGGGGACAGCATTATGCCTGCTAGGCTGTCTGTAATGTTAGCACCTTAGGACTATTCAATTACCACAATATATTCTATATGGAACTGCTAATGCAGCCAGCTTCAAACAGTAACATGGGTCTTGCAAGACAACAGCTGCTATCTTGGATTTCAGTGCATGTGCCCCGTTGTGATACTGGCTTCACCTGTATTGAAGCTAAAAGAGCTGGAAAAGACACAAGAATCTTTTGCAGGTGTGGGGTGGCTCTTGAGACTGAGTATAGAGTCCCATGTAAATAGCAGATAGTAGTAGTTGTGTTACATTGGCGGGCAGAATTAGCCATTACGCAGGAAACATTCAGCACAATACCATCATGTTAATTTAGAAGTCCCACAGAATTAAGTGGACCTTATGCCCAAGTAAGCAGGTTTAGGACTGCAGCCATGATGTTCTACTTTTCTCGGAGTGCTGGACCACTCTCAGTCCAAGGCCAAACCCAACTGCAGAGATGTCCTTGGGGGTTGCCTTCCAGTGGTGGTCAGAGTTCAGCACAAAGGGGCATGGTCAAAGTACCAGCCTAGTTTCACCCCAAGCTCTTCCTGACAGTAGTTAAGCATTGAGAGAGGCACTACAGCCTTCCAGAAGGAAGACCACACAAAGTCAAGAAACCACAAACCCAAATTGCAGGTTGCGGGGAGGGGTGGGGGCAGAACCCAGCTGGTACCATGAGGAAGGGGCATAGACTTGGGAGAACTCTGTCAACCCAGATTGGCTCCAGGGCCAAAGTTCAACATGCTTGTCCTACACCACTTTGGAAACATTATAGGGCAGCCAGATAAAAAGAGGCCAGGATGCCTTCACCTTGCAATACCTGCCCTCTTTTGTATCTGGCTAGTATGGCATGGACAATGCCAGGGGTAACCAGCAAGTGGAAAAGGGTGCTTTACTGTTGTTGTAATTATAATTAATTTCATTGCTGAAGCTCTCTGGGTGGTTTACAACAGTCCATAAAACAGATAATAAAAAACAATAAATTATATAAAATCAGAAATGCATTAGAAATTTAAACCAAACAATAACAAAGAAAAACTCTTTAAAACACCCGGGCTGGCCAATCATTCTTCCTTATCCACTATCTGCTGCAAATGCCTTCCTGCTCAATGAGGAGTATTTGTAGGATGAATAAATGAATGTAGGAAAGGTTGTACACCTTCCTCCCATCATGTCCATTAAGTGCCCCCTCACTACCCCTTCACAAACACACTCTTGGCAAATCTAGGTTGGGAACACATCTCCTGAGATAATGTACTTTCTCCCGACTGCAAAGACAAAGAGAGAGAGAGAATTTACTATGTATAATAACTATCTATAATAAAGATCCTCCGTTTCCTGTTGAATTAAGAATTACGTCATTGAGATTGTTAACAGCCCTTCTTTTTACACTGTTACATGCAAATACACTTTGTAAAATATAAATGTAATACTCTTTGTAGATCTGCTGATGACTAAATCATTACATTAAGATGGCTGGTCATGTTCCATACACTAAAGACCATTGTTGGAGGAGAAATGTGTTTTGGAGTTTAAGAGGTAATTTTCATACGCTGCATAATGACGACAAATGTCAGGCAATTGCACCATTTTCCTTCTTTGAGGCAAGGTGGGCACAGTCCAAAAGTGGATTGGAAGTGGTTAGTATTATTCAGGCAACTTACTTCTTTTCCTCCCCCTCACACACCCATTTACCTGTGAATTTATATATAAACCTGTATGCTGGAGTAAGGTAGTCCTTGTAAAGGAAGAAGAAGGGCCCTACTATACTAAAGAATGTGAGGGGTCTCTTTTGCACGTGGTCCAATTTGTAGCAGTATGAGCACATTTTCTTGCATGAGAGACTGATCAGGACCCTTCCAACTGCTGAATTCTCTGCAGCGCAAGGTCTGGCACCAGGGCGGCTTCCCCTTGAGAGGGGAAGGCTTTTCTGGGAAGTGCCTGCACAGCCTTCGAGGCAAAAGTACCTGTGAGGGTCATTGTGCGAGCTAAGCACAGGTAAGGTGAAAGGGATACAGCTCCAGGAGGGAGACATTCTCTGCAGATAG